TTGAAAACGTGGTTGGGTTTACTTTTAAACCCAGCACTTTCAATTATCAAAACATGTTCAAAATGTTGAACGTCGGGAAAGCACTTTTAAACCCAGTCTATTCAGATAAAATTCTTTATGATAGCATTAAACATACATCGTGCCTTCTACATAAAAAAAGGCTTTATTTATTTATTCATATACAGGCTCAACTTGTAGTACAAACTTAAGTCTCCGCCTCGTTACTCTCAGCTACTCAAGCCTCGGCTCTTCCCCTCGACTGAGAAGAGTGGGGAACAAGCACAACCATCTCCTCTCCCCTGTTATACTTCAACATCCTCGCCTCCTCCCTCGAAACCCTGTAAGCATTCCTCAGCACTTCCTCAGGCAACCCCTTGAATACCGATGTTTTTCCGACGATGGGGCTGACCATTGCGTTGTCGTTGGTCTTTATAGCTACCCACTCGAAGTTTTCGCTTCTTGATTGGATCAAGAGCGCGAAGTTCTGGGGGACGACGATGAGCTGGTTTTGGCGGAGCTCGCCGTTGAAGGCAGTGTTGCCGCGGTCGTTGACGATCTGGAGCCGGGCGTTTCCTCTGGTGACGTACATTATGGAGTGGGCGTTCATGTTCCAGTGTGGGGCAACAAAGGCATTCTGGGGAGAGGAGGGGGTCGGGAAAGAAATTAATTAGCACGTTAATTAATTGTATAAATTATCAGGAAACATTAATTCGGTAGCGCTTTTTTCTTACCCTGTGGAGGACACCCCTGACCGCGTTGAGCTGGAGATATCTGAGAAGGGGAAGCTTCTGGCTGTTGAGGGTGGTGGTCCTCCCTGCATTAGGATTGTATATGTCCGCACGCCTCGGATCATCGATGTTGCGCTTCACCCCCACCGAGCAGAAGGCCTGCTCAAGTCCGTTTGCCATCAGACGCCTCCTCTCCCTCTCTCTCTCCTCTTCCTCGTACTCCCTTTCTCTCTCCTCTCCCTCGCTCATTCCCTCTTCCCTTCTTGACGGCCTCACGATGTGGAAGCTTCCCTCGACCCTCACAATCTCCCCCCTGTCGTCGCTTCGTCCTCTCAGCTTCTCCGCTAGGTCCCTGCTTATGCCCATGGATTCGGCCAAACTTTCGGTGTCGAAACCGCTGAGGAGGTTAAAGTCGTCAGAGTCTTCTCTAGGCTCGACGCCTAAGTGTTGGCCTCTCCCCTTCCTTCCGGCGAGAAGGAATTCCTGATGAGAATTTTAAGAACTTGACGCCTAAGTGTTGGCCTCTCCCCTTCCTTCCGGCGAGAAGGAATTCCTGATGAGAATTTTAAGAACTCGAATTAGAAAGTTGAGATTATTAACTGAATATTAGTTGAAGCTTTTCGCGTAATTAATCTTGTTAATTTCAGTCTCTTGTTAGTTAATTTGTAGAGTAAGTAAAGAGGCCAGGTGATTAATTAGTGAGGGGCTGATATATATGACATACATCCGTTCACCGCGAGAGAGCACGCATGAGAGGGCAATAATAGGCTACTTAATTGTCTACGAGTTTGTGCTTAATATATTACCCTGCGGTTGCTGTCGAGTTGGTTGGCATTGTTGCTTGTATCGAGAACCGTGAACGCAACGATGGGCTGTTCTCCATCGTTGTAGACCCAGTGAGCAACTCCTGCAGGGATTGCGATGATGTCACCCTCTCTGAAGTGGTCGACTCTCTGGTGCTGGTCTCTCTCCGACCGTCCTCGGCGGCCTTCTTCACGCGATGTCCTAGGGTCGCCTCGCTGGAAGGACTGGAACGATTCCGGGCATCCCGGCATCACATTGCCGAAAATACCCTTGCCTGCATGCATAACAGTACATACTTAGGCCTAAACTCAATATATCCGCAGATTCAAAAATTAAGCTTAGTCTTGTTAGGTACGTGTTGATTAATGTTGCTTGTTCAAATAAAATACCTTGGACAACATAAGTGAGGGCATGAGCATTGTAGAATTTAGGCAAGACGAGGCCTCCAGGCTGAACAATACGGCGGTGTGCGGCTACCCCGGCGCACTCGAACTGCTCGTTGTCCTCGTCAAAGTACTCGGTGAGGCCTGCCTCAGACTCGACCCTCCGCCTCGGTTCCTGGGCGTTGAGCCTCTCGATCCGGCACCGGCTCTGAGACCCGAACCGGCGCTGGCTCCCGAATGGGCTCCTCCCTTGCTCCCCGAATTGGGCTAAAGAGACGTCGAACAAGAGGAGGAGAGAGAGGGAGAGGGAGAGCAAGTAACCCCTAGAGAATATTGCCATTACTAGCTAATCAGTGAGTATGTATGTATCTCTATTGCTCTGAGTGATGAAGGGAGAGGAGAAAGGGGGTGTGGTATTTATAGGCTTAAGGGAGGGGAGTTTGTTGAGGAAGAGGACAGTTTGCATGGAGTTGAGGGTTTGGGGAGCGTCCTCGTGTTGCCGCATTTGAGTTACTCGGTGGACTCGTGGCGCATGGAATTGAGGATGAGTACAAAGTTAGGTACTCTCTTTACAAGTCTAGATATTTTTAGCGTGTTTCTCGTAAAATTTAAATTTTGAGGGCCTTTTTTATAAATTTTAAAAGTTCTAGGGTGTTTTCTACAAATATCATTTTCTCAGTGGACTTTTTCTAATTTATAAACTTTACCCACTGTAAGTTTTGACTTTTTAGTTTTAGTTTTGAATTTTTTGTTTTCTGTAATTTTTGAAGCTTTTAATGTGTTTTTTGTAAATATTTCATGTTACTGTTTATAAGCTACAAATTTCATATTGTTTGTAAGTTTTCATATTTCTAGCGTGTATTTCTATAAAATTTGGCTTTATGGTGTATCTTGCAATTTTTGAAACTTTCAGTTGTGTTTGTTGAAGATTTTAAAATTTTCACGTTGCTATTTGTAAGTTATAGGTTTTGTACTATTTATAAGTTTTAATATTTATGTGACATGTTTCTATTAAATTTGACTTTTTTGAGGGTGTATTTTGTAATTTTTAAAACTTTTAGGATGTTTTTTTCAAATTTTAAATTTTCATGCTGCGGTTTGTAGCTTATGGGTTTTGTATATTGTTTGTAAATTTTGTTGTTTCCAAGGCGTCAAGGGTGTGTTTTTGTAATAATTTGACTTTAAGGGTGAATTTTGCAATTTTCTAAATATGTAGTGTGTTTTTCGCAACTTTTAAAATTATTGGGGTGTTTCTTGCAAACTTATAAATTTTCGTGGTGCTATTTTTAAGTTATAGATTTTGTAGTCATTTGTAAACTTTGATTTTTTAGGGGTGTGTTTTTGTATATTTAGGATATTTTTACAACTTTTGAAACTATCAGGGTGTTTTCTGGAAATTTTAATTTGTGTGGTACTGTTTATAAGTTTTAGATTTTATATTGTTTGTAGTTTTTGATATTTCTCGGCTGTGTTTTCATAAATTTGACATTTGAGGGTGTATTTTGGAATATTTGAAACAATTAGGGTGTTTTTACAAATTTTAAAATTTTCATTGTTTTATTTATAGATTTTTGTACTATTTTGTAAGTTTTAATATTGTTGATTTTAAGGAACCAAACAGTCAAATATATGGGGGTAAGGTTGATTAGGGGGCCGCTCACTTCTTCGAATATATGGTCTTGAGTTTAGTAGCTTCAGCTTGCACAAATAGCAATTCATGAGAGGACGTGACTTAGTTCCCTCGTTGTACCTCCGATGATCAAGTCAGCTGGTGAACTTGAGTGGAAAAATAAAGAACTATGTGAGTTCTTCAGTGTCGTGCAGTATAACTTGCAGATATTGCTTGGAAAAATAGCCTTTGAAAAAGATCTCCAGAAAAAAGATCACCTTTAAGTTGAGAATAGTACCTCTGTTTGTAGTGGTACGTGCTGAAAGGGTAGAACCACACTTCGGCCTAGCATAGGATGGCGGTAAGTAGACATGGGTTGGCGGTTGCGTTAGCACCTACTTTACAAGTGTTAGTAAGCGAGTGGAGGAGAAATCACCTCAGCATTAAATGAGAAGTGATTGGAGGCATGACGATGCTAATGTGGTCTGACGAGTCATGAAGACTATCAAGGCTAGAGGTATGATGCACCTGCTAAGCATTAAATATGACGTCGATGTGCTGTCAGCGGGAGAGGCTCGAGACCGAAGTCGTCCTTTAGTTTGGCCGAGAAGCAATGCCTTTCGAGTCGACCTCACAAGGCGTCGAATAACTGGTCGAGTAGGCTCGTAGCGAGTCATCTTCGACGAGAGAACTGATAAGTATCGCCCTTCGACTCGACCTAAGGAGATGTCGACTCGGCGAGTCAGCTAAGTAGGGATCCTTTGTGATTTCGACCGTCAATCTGACTTAAGCGGTGCATGTAGGGGGACATCTGTTCGTTACTAGTAAAGGGCCGTACTTTGGCGACTGAAAATACCATAACAGTTGGCCACTTTCGCTTGGAGTCTGCTTGAGCCAGGTTCGAGTGAAATGAGAGTTGTTTTGAACATACGTGGGTATGCATTCCATAAGAGAACTGAAAAGCCATTTCAGATTTTACGTGGCTAACGTCACTACACATTCTTTTTGACTGCCACAGCTCCGATTTCCGTGGCTAATTGTGGGCTATTCGAGGTGAGTGGGTTGCGCCTTGATCCTCGAAGGGTCGCTTTGGATTCTAAGAATTAATATTAGCCGTTGGCTAAAGCATGATCTGACCGTTCAGATTCTAGCAGTTGTGGATTCAACTGCCTATATATAGAGCTAGGGCCATGAAGATGTCAGCTATTGTCTTTTGAAATTCCCTTCTGAGAACTCAACATCTTCCGCTCTCATCTCTTTTCGGATATCACTTCTCCTTTCTACGATGGCATCAAATCCTATAGACCAACGAGCTCTTTTGGCGGGATTCCACTCCAAGGTGACCCAAGCACAGAAGAGGACGCTCCATGGGAGATTTGATATCCCCCGTGAGTATGAGCTGATGGCCCCGACGAGGTCAGAGGCTATCTATGATCTCTGGCCAGATTGGGCCCCGCTCTACTTGAAGCATTTGGAGTTTGGTCTACGACAGTCCCTACACCCCTTTCTTCAATAAGTTTTCACGGTTCTAGGGGTATTGCCAACCCAAATGAAGCCGAACGTCATCGTAACCTTGGTGGGGTTCGTTGTGATTTGCCATTAGTTGGCAATAAAGCCATCCTTAAGAGTCTTGGTCCGTTTGGTGACTGTGAAGGTGAACCAAACTGAACCCCACTTCCATTTCCAAATGGTGGGGAAGTACAAGCTCATAACCAGCCTCCCTGACTCAAACAAGGACTGGAAGGAAAAGTTCGTCATGGTCATGGGGGATGACTTGGAGTTGGGCTGCTCGAACTGGTCCGGGATAAGGAGGGAAACGCTCGTGGGGGTGACTTGCTCGACGTCAAGAGGGATATGCTGGATCAGATCAAGGTGTATGCTGGCTCTTGTCAAGTCAAACATCTGCTTGATAACTCGATCATACGGGTTGCCAACGTGTCTATCATGCCTCCTTCTGCCAAGGACAATGAGAGGGATTTAGCCCTGATTTTAGGGATTGCGAAAGTGGTGATGGTGCCGACCACTCATCTGGTCTATCCCCAGGAAGGGCCACCTGTGAGGCCTGAAAAGCATCTCTGTCATGACTTTGACCCAATGGAGACCAAGATGACCGAGGCAGAGCCTTATCCCACCATCGTCCATAGACGAAGGAGGAGGCCCTAGATGGATGAGGAACAAGAACCTCGGGTGGTACCCGAGAGGGTCGAGACCGACATCATCCATCCGGGTGAGTCGACCCCGAAAGAGCAGACCGAGGCTCGCCGGGAAGAGGGAACCGAGGCCAGAGCTCCTACTGAGGAGGGGAGGTCATCTATTCACCACAGGGGGTCAACTCGTCGGGAGGAAAGAGCTGGTCTTGGAGGAAATGGTGCCTCCGACAAGGTTAGAGTACCCCTTTCCTCACCGTGCTGTCGAGATCGGAGAGGAAGAATGGGAAAGGATGATGCAGTACCTTATCAAGACTTCAGGGGTCAGCCCTCGATATGGATAGGATCCTGACCTAGAGCACCGCTACCAGCCTACTCACCACCTCCATGTCAGGGGAACAGTCCTCGATTCTAGCTAGACTCAATCGAGGGTGGTCAAGCAGTTCTGGCTTCCTCGAGATAAGGAGCTCTTGTCGGGAGTTCCAAATGCTGGTCTCCACCTAAGCCTTCAAAGCTACTTGGTTCAAGGCACTTTGGTGGAGCAAGAGATATATGGCGGGATGGAGCAGATCCGGACTTCATATCTCAAGCTTTTATGGGAGGTTGCTTCCTTAAGAGCCGACAGAGGGGTCAACTCAGAATGGGGTGCAGAGACGCCATCCCTAAGAATTTTCAAGGTCGACAAGCTCTAGCAGGAGCTGGAAGAGAGCAATAGGAAGGCTAGGAGACTGGATGAGGCTCTCCAGGAGAGGGGATCATGCTATGGTGCAGGTCGAGGCCGAGAAGCAGGCGGTGATGCATGCGAAGCGTCACATGGACGAGGAGCATGCAGCGCTCGTCAAGATTCAGGAGGAGGTCGCCCACCTACAGGAGTCCTTTGTAGTGGCCTAAAGCCACAATGCCCACCTCCAATCTGAGCCTTACAACCAATAGATCATGGAGGGGTATCGCCATGGCCTAACTAGAAAAACAAAGGTACAGATAGCCTGCAAGACCGTGTTAGGGTTCTGGTTTTGAACCTACACTCTTGTTTTGTTTTGATGATTTTACAAATAATTTATAACTAATTTTGTTTTCCAGTGATTGTGACTTATTACAGGTTTATATCAGAGTTAAAGATCCAGATCAACTATGTTTACAATCATTTAGGTATTATTGTATATATCGTGTGTTATTCTCTAAGCTCAGTATATATTTATACACACACTTAACATCATGTTTACATTGTATTATTTTACAAAAGTTTTTCAATACACCTCTATCAAAATCAAATGTACATGTTTACATATTTGCACATATATGTGCACATTTGCTAAAACGATGATCTTTTACAAATAGCAAATGTAATTTCCAAAATTTCTTCATAAATATGTTTAATATCATGTTTATAAACTATTTCTAAAGTTTAATATTTTTTAGAATTTATTTGATATATTTTAAGGTTCATAGTTAAAAATTTTCTGTGTACATGTTTATGAGTCGACTCATGAACAGTATTGAGTCGACTCACAAACTACTGTGTAGTTTACATTTTGTTCTGCTGAGTCGACTCATGACTTTGATGAGTCGACCCATCAGGTTGAG